CTCCCACCCTGGCTTTTTGGTGTGGATCAAGGATGAGATCCTCAGGCATGTACAAGCAATCACATTACTGAGCCATCTACCCAGCCCTGCAAATAATAATCTTTTAAAATACGTAATTTAAGGTTGAGTCAGAGGAAGAATAGAAGATAACAAGAATGGAGATATCATAATAGAGGGAGACATTTTAGGTTTACAGAGAAATCAGGCACTAGGGAAATGTCTGGAGATCTACAAAGATGACACCAGCTAACAATCTAAAGCAACAGAGGAGAGGCTACCTTAAATGCTCTCCCCTGATAATGAGATTGATGACTGACTTATATGACACCCGATAGCCCTCATTCAGCAGCTGGTGGAAGTAGAAGCAGACACCCACAACTAATCACTGAACTGAACTGGAATCCAGATGCAGAGAAGGACGAGTGAAGAGCAAAGGGGTCCAGACCGGGCTGGTGAAACCCACAGAAACAGCAGAGCTGAACATTGGGGGGCTCTTGGTCCCCAGACTGATATCTGGGATACCAGCATGGGACTGATCCAGACCCCAGGAACATGGGTTTCAGTGAGGAAACCTCGGAAATCTATGGGACCTCCTGTAGTAGTTTAGTATTTATCCCTAACACAGGTGTGGACTTTGGGAGCCCATTCCACATAGCGGAATACTCCCTGAGCCAAGACACACGGGGGTGGGCCTAGGCTCTATCCCAAAGGATTATGATAGACTCTGATGACACCCTATGGAAGGCCTCACCATCCAAGGGAAGCAGAAAGGATATGTGATAGGTAGGGTTTTAGTTGGGGGGGGGAGTGGCAGGGGAGGACGGGAGGGAGAAGGGAACTGGGATTGTCGTGTAAAACAATCTTGTTTCTAATTCAAATAAAAAAATCTGCAAAAAATACGTTATTTATTGTGTCTGCATGCATATGCACATGTATGTGCATACCCACAGAGGCCAGAAGAGGGCATCAGACCTCCTGTGGTTTGGTTACCCTGTGTAGGTGCTAGGAACCTGACTCTAGGTCTCTGGAAGAGCAGCAAACATTCTTAACTGCTGAATGGTCTCTCCATCCTCCCCAAGGATAATAATGTTGAATTATCTCAGTGTGTAGCTTCATCTCAGTCTAGTTAAATCTCCATATCTGAGAATGGGCCTCAAGCACTTAGCAGATTTCAGAGTAAGTCTAATATGGATTACCACAGCCCTGGGGAAGTACTCGGACTTTGATGATGAGCAAGGGAACAGAATCATTAAAACGGAGGGACCAGATACAGTGGCTTGTATATGTAGACCCAGTTCCTTGGGAATTTTGGCACCCCGTGGAGAGCAGAGCTTGGATCCCAGAAGACACATGTTCAGGGCCAGGCTCAGCTGATTCTGAGCCTGGTCCCTAATTCACCAGAGGTTACCAGGATCCCACTCAGAAGTGAAGTTAGGCTAACCATCTGTTAGAATCACTGGCCCACTTCCTCAGAGCTGCTTCCTGAAGGCTCTGGGTTTGTCTCAGCTTCGTAGCCCCTAGTAGGCTTGGTATACACACACAGGCACTTGGTGGAGAAACCCATGGGAGCGGTCAGATTGCCTTTCCTGTCATCCTGCCAGGGCGACCAGAGAGAGACAAGAACTCCATCCCAGTTCAGGTAGGAGGGATCAGCCTTCCTTGCCCAGGGCACCAGGGCTTCTCCAATGCCATCTGTCTCCACCAGACATCAGCTGGGCTGATCTCACTTTGAGCACTCTCTTTGTAAAAATACATTAAAAGGAATCTCCAGTTGGCCCTTGTTTATAGAACACATTAGCCCCAAATTAAACCTGGCAAGTTTGTCAACCTTCACTTCCATTTAAAATACATAGCTAAAAGTTGGGCAAAGGTGGTGCACGTTGCCTTTGATTCCAACACCTGGGAGGCAGAGGCAGGGGGATCTCCATGAGTACAAGGCCAGCCTGATTTATAAAGGGAGTTCTGGGACAGCTGGAGCTGTTACACAGAGAAACCCTATTATCTTTCTGAGTGTGTGTGTGTGTGTGTGTGTGTGTGTGTGTGTGTGTGTGTGTGTGTGCACAAGCACACATCCAGAAGTACACTAATGTCACAGCACATGCATGGTGGTCAGAGGACAACTTCATATTCCACCCTGAGACAGGTAGGTTTGCAGTTATGCCAGGCTAGCTTCTGGGGATTGTAGTCTCCTCCTCCCATCATGGGCATGAAAGGATTACAGATGTACACTACAGCATCGGGCTTTATGTGGGGTCTGGGGATCCAAAAGTAGATCTTCCAACCCATCGCCTCCAGAGTAAGTTATTGGAACAGAGAGCAGGGAACTTTGCCCAAGTCAAGCAAAATATGGTGCATAAATGGCCCTGTGTCCATAGTTGTCTTCAGAGAAAAGGTTGGAGGGTTGTGTGGTTTGAATAGGAATGGCCCCATAAGCTCATAGGTTTGAATGCTTGGTCGCTAGGAGTGGCACTACTTGACAGGGATTAGGTGTGGCCTTTTGGAGTAGATACATCACTGGGAGTAGGCTTTGGAGTTTCAGATGCCCAAGTGGATCCCTGTGGCTGTCTCTTCCTGCTGCCCACCGATCTGGATGTAGAACTCTCAGCTAATTCTCCAGCACGTCAGCCTGAATGCTGCCATACTTCCTGCCATGATGGCAACAGACTAAACCTCTGAAACTGCAGGCCAGCCCCCAATTTAAATGTTCTCCTTTATAAGAGTTGTGGTCGGAGGAGGGATGGGGGTGAGGGGAGGGAGAGGGAGAAAGGACTTACATGTGAAACAAGCTTGTTCCCTAACTTGAATTAAAAAAAAAAAAAAAAAAAAAGGAAAAAAGAAAAAAAAAGAATACTGGCTAAGACAGGTGCTTAGACCAACACCACCAAGCAGGCTGAGCTACAGCAGCTCACATGACATACAAACCCCATCCTTGTGGCTTGTGACAATTCTGTGACTACCCCATCAAGGGCTAGCTAAACATGGCTGACACTGGGCAGAAGGGAAAGGAACACATGAACTGTTCTTGCAGCCTGTGGCACATACCACCTCTGCCTCATAACTGGCCAGGAGCCCTATGTCCACATTTAGGTCCAACAGGGCTCAAGGTCACATTTTTGCTGAGTGGACAGAATTCTTGGCAAGGGACATCTAGATGTCCAGCCAAACAATGCTGCCTGGCCAAGGCAAGGTCAAGAAGACATGCATGTTCTCACATTTAAGGTTCTTGGGTCCTAACAACAAAAACAATCAGACATTGTCCAAAGGAAAGGAAAGACACAGGTGTGCAGTGAAGACAGCAAACAGTTGAATCAAAATACATTTCATGTCAGGACCAGGCTGGTGAAACCCAAAGAAACAGCTGGCCTGAACAAGGGGGAGCACATGGACCCCAGACTGCTGTCTGGGAGGCCAGCACGGGACTGATCCAGACCCCTAAACGTGGATGTCAATGAGGAGACCTCCGCACTCTAGGGGGGTCCCTGGTAGTGGATCAGTATTTTTCCCTGGTGTAAGAAGGGCTTTGAGAGCCCATCCCACGTGAAGGAATGCTCTCTTGGCCTGGACACATGGGGGAGGGCCCAGGCCCGTCCCAGGATGATGTGGTGGACTTTGGGGAGCCCCCATCAAGGGCCCTACCCTGCCTGGGGAGTGGAGGGGGGATGGGGTGGGGGATTGAAGGGAAAGGTTGGGGGGAAGGGGAGGGAGAGGGAGAAGGGATTGACATTTGAAGCAAGCTTGTTCCTAATTTGAACTAATAAAAAATACATTTCATAAAGTTATTTTTTTTAGTATTATTAAAGGCATGTGGTGGTGATGCACGCTTTTAATCACAACGCAGAGGCAGTCGGATCTCAGTGTTTGAGACCATCCTGGTCTACGGAGCAAGTTCCAGGACAGCTAGAGCTACACACAGAAACCCTGTCTTGAAAAACAAACACACACACAATTTTTTTTTTTTTTTTTGATTCTTGGAAACTTTTGTTACATTGATGAGTCAGGTTGTATTTCTACTGGACATTACCAGACTAGAAAGAGACTCAGATTCTCTTGTCTATCCATGACATTGTCGATGGGGGTTGATTGTTCCTTCTAGATCATCACACATTAAAAGTACTTACCCTTTGGCTCACTGTGGCAAGGACTCTATACCTGTGGTGCCTAATCTTGTTTTACCTTAAGTCTTTGATGGCTACAAGTGACTTCCATTCTCAGGAGCTGGCTGCTGATCCCAGTGTTAACTAAGGCTGTACTCCATATAGCAGTGACCCCAGAACCCAGGCTCTGCAATATATATAACCAGTCCCTTCCAAACACCTGTATCCAACGGGAAGAAACCATAGCATCGCAGCCCAGCCCTCCATCCCCAGCAGTCAAGACCTCTTCTCCCATTTGCTTCTGGTTCAGGCTCAGATGTGCTTTGATGTAACCCCACTAGCAATGGGAGTCTCAGATAAGCTTGTCTGGAAAACTCCAGAAACCTGCTCTTCTGCAGTGACTCAAGAGTACAAGCCCTTCATGATTGGCTTCCTCCCCAGTTCCCAACCATGTCCTATGGAACAATCCTCCAGACCCTTCACTTTGGCCTAAGGTGCCTTGTTCATCCCAGGGGAAGCACTCTGGTGTCAACGGAACTACAGAGGCCTGTGTCTTCTGCCTACACCAGGCCTTGTGCTCTCTGGATGCAGAAGCCAAAGGAAGCTTAGCCTACACCTGGCGGGGTAAGATGAAGGGGAAGAGCTGGCCAAAATGTCCTCCAAGATCATGGAGTCTTCTTTATCATGGTCCTTGGAGAGCCACAGCTGGAACCTCTGTAGACCACATCATTCACAACCACCCTCCTCAGTCCCCAGGCCCAAATCTTTGCCACCACTGAAGAAAAATGGACTCAAGGTTATAGTTTATACAATTCAAGATTTATGTAAGTCCAAGATACTTAAGTTATTCTTAAATTGCACAATGCTAAAGACAGTCTATAAAAGAGTCAAACACACCACTGCAAGGTAATTCAATGAGTTCTTTTTTTTTTTTTTTTTAAATAAATGTGTACAGAAAAAAAAAATCCCCCCAATGGCAATCTCCCCATTCAGCTCCCTGTCTGTGCACAGGAAGCCACAGGAGACCACGGCTGGAACAGCAGGGGCAGCAGTCCCACTCTGTGGGATGGACTTCTATTTCCGGTGAAGAATATGGAAGAGTTTTGAGTTCCCTTTGTTCTCCAGTGTGTCTTGTACAAAATATTACACTTTTAAACATGTATTTACAGAGTTTGCACAAATAGAAAATGATTACAAATTACAACCAGGCTTGGCAAGATAATAAAAGCTTCCCCTCTCCCCACTCACGGGGATCAGGTGTGATGATTGCTCCATATTTACATCTATGTTTTAAAAAATCTGAGCTCCTACAGACCTGGAGGAAGTGTATAAAAGCTGGCTAAACACCGTCAATCCATCCATGTGAGCTATACAGGGGTTGATACCAGCCGGCCAGTCCATGACACACTCCCTGAATCAACTCAGAAACAGACCCACTCAGCCAGCCAGCCCCACACCCGCCCTGGCCCGCCTGCTGCAGTGTGTGGGGGTTGGGTGGGGAGAGGGGAGTGGATGGAATGGGAACAGGACAACCTGGTTATGAGTCCTTCCTTCAAACAGCCTCCAGCAGGGCTAAGCCAGCTGGCTGGTGAAACGCCATCCTAAGGCTTTGAAAGAACACACAACTCCTCAGGGAGGATGTTTCCGAAAGGGCTACAGAATGAGGGAAAGAAGACTCGAGAGAACAATGTTTGCTATTCTGATGTTAAATCTCTGTCCTGAGTGCCAAGCCCAATCTCAACAGTGCAAAAAAAAAAAAAAAAAAAAAAAAAAGACTTAAGTAGTTCGGGGGGCTGAGGTCAAAGGTTGGCATAGTAGCTGTCCACCCATTGTGCAAGGCCTCGCTCCACCAGCGACCGGTTTATCAACACCACCTGGAAAACAGGATTTTCTTGAGAGTTCTATGTGGCACCTTGGGACTAGGTGTCAAGACAGTGTGGGCTCTCCTACCCAAGTCCCCAGTCATCAGCCAGGGCACAGGTGCAGACATGGGGCATAACTACAACAGGTTTGTTTTTTGGTTTTGTTTTTTTTTTTGTTTTTTTTTTTTTTACATGTTGGTGCCACAGGCTTCTAAAATCTTGAAACCAAAGCCTTGACACTAAGGATAGGAGCAATGGACAGAGGTCCTGGACGGTCTAGAGCAGGTCTCCCCATCTTGGCACTAAGGTATTCTGTGTTGGAAGAGGCTGTCCCAGAAGTTACACGTTCAACAGCACTTCTAGCTTCCACCTGCTACATGCCACTAACATCACTACTCCTAATTGTGGAACCCAGTGTTCCCTGAGTGGCACTGGTCCACAATCGTGACATTTAATAATGCCAGAACAAGTTCCCAGTCAGCCCACTACTGCTGACAGCAACTTGGGTGGAAAGGGGCAAACTCACTTCATCTCCAACCACACTCCATAGCTGAATTAGAGGAAGGCCAGTCTCACTGTAGCTTGTCACCTAGAGGTACAGGGGGCAGAGAAAACATCTTAGGCATGCTTTCAAAACTACCATGGAACCCAGGGAGACCTCAAACTCAAAATCCCCTTGCCTCAGCGTATGAATGCTGGCTGGGGTTATAGGATAGCACACCAGGCCTGGCTTATACACTTCTTCAAGCCTGCCAGTCACTCCAGGACTTCTGACCATAGGACAGAAGGAATTTAAATGTCAGATCTCAAGAAGCCTGGACACTTAGTTGCACTAGGTAGGAGCCTCTCCTAACAGTCCCTGGCTGCCCTGCCAGCCTCCTGCCCCAACCACATACCTGGGCCAGCAGTGCGGTGTTGCCTGTCATCTCACTCATGGCTGCATCTGCCTCAGGTGAAAAGTGGTCGTCATCTTGAAAAGAAGGAAAAGGGAAAGCAGTGTTCAGATACCCACGGGGGCAAAACAGTCTTGTCACCTGCAGGCTGTCCCAGATGCTGCACACTTCAGGACTGCATCTCTGAGAGCCACCTTGCCAGCAGGGCCTGTGTCTCTGTGACTCAAGTGGGTGAATGAAGAAGCCCCAGCTACACGGGCCCCCCAAGGCGTAAGCAGACAGAAAGGCTGCCTCCGATGCAAGCAGGCCTCTTTCCCCACTTATCTGGAGGCCAGCTATACTGCACAAGTGTGTGCACCTCCACCAAACCAGCAATGCCCCCAGAAGATGGGAGAGCATGTCCACTTCACAGGCAAAGGCTAAACCCACAGGCTAAGTGGCTCACACCATGGCACAGGCAGCATTCCAATCCAAGCAGTTGGCCCAGTAAAAGGCAGCTGCCCTTTAATAGACCCTGAGGTGCCTTCTGCTGGGCTGCCTTACAAACGTGACGTACAAGAACATGCCCAAGACAGGACATGGCAGGGTGGAAGGCAACAGCTTATAAAGTGTGGTGGAAGAGTCTTGTGATAAAGGAGGGCCGATTTCAGGGGGCCTGGCCAGATTGCTTAGATGGACAGATGGGAGAGAAAGGCTGGCAAGAAAGAAGGGAAACAGGCTGGAGAGATGGCTCAGAGGTTATGAGCACCCACTGTTCTTCCAGAGGTCCTGAGTTCAATTCCCAGCAACCACATGGTGGCTCACAACCATCCCTTATGAAATCTGGAGCCCTCTTCTGGTGTGCAGATATACATGGAAGCAGAATGTTGTATAAAAAAAAAAAAAAAAAAAAAAAAAAAAAAAAAAAAAAGGGAAACGAAACAGAGCCTGCCGGCATTCTGATAGGACTTCTGCTGTAATGTCTCTGTTTTCCTTTAAGACAGGGTCTTGTGTGTGTAGCTCAGGTTGGCCTCAAACTCATGGCAGTCCTCCTACTTTGGCCTCCTGAGTACTAGGATTACAAGTGTGCAGCACCATGCCTGGTAGTCTATCTAGAGCACTTTAAACTGCTCTACGAAAAACAGGACCTGAAGGGGCCTGCATGGGAGAGAGGGGGACACATTAGAGACTTTTACATACAGCCAGAAGAACCGGTGATCTGACCACTCCACAACAGTACACTCTCACAGCTACCCTGAAAGACAAGCACCATCCCCTCATGCCAGAGGTCAGTCAGGCTAAGGAGAAATGCTTTTGGTCTCAGACACACAGGTCAACACAGTCCCCCCACCATGCCCTAAGGAGTGGTGATGGTGCCGAGCAGCCAGCTGACTTCCAGCCTGGCTATCTGGACCACGTTCTGAAGTACCTCACTGGACCTCTCAGGCTAGCACCTGGGTAAAGTAGAAGGCAGCAGACCCCGGATGAGGGGCCACAGCAGTATTAGCATGGCCTGGGGACTTGCTAGAAATCCAAGATCTACTCAACCAGAAGCTAACAATGGCACCAACCATGTTTACACAGGCTTCAGATGAGAAAGAAGGAGGGCACCAAGAAAGCCCAGTGACCACCAGTGCCCAGCCCGAAGTCGGAGGCCCGCCTGTTACCTGACAGTGGAACCACACTGTCCAGAAGGACTTCTGCTCCTTGGAATGGTAGGGTCACAAAGTCAGACCTAGAAAGGCAAGAAAGGGCCAGGCGTTGGTGGTGCACGCCTTTAATCCCAGCACTCGGGAGGCAGAGGCAGGCAGATCTCTATGAGTTCGAGGCCAGCCTGGACTCCAGAACAAGTGCCAGGATAGGCTCCAAAGCTACACAGAGAAACCCTGTCTTGAAAAACCAAAAACCAAAAAAAAAAAAAAAAAAAAAAAAAAAAAAAAAAAAAGGGATGAGTTTAACACAGACCACCAGTATTCACCTTCTACTGAACACAGCAACCTAATCCAGGATGGCGTGCACACCTGAATGCAAGCGGGCAACTGCTGCAAGCCTGACTTAGAGGGACTTCCTTTGAGGCCTGACACTTGGGGCTTCTCCAACAGACCAGTCTTCCAGTCTGTGTAGCTGAGGCAGGTCATTGTGTCTCTCTACACCTGACTCTGTTAAGACACAGTTGGCAGCAGGAGGGATGACTCCAGGCCCACCTGAAGCTGGGTAGAACTGAGCCATGCATCCCATGCCATGCAGGGGTGACTTGTGACTGGCCAAGGAATCCCACTCACCTAATTTGCCGGAGCACGTCGACTTTCACCCTCTTATATCCACCATAGTCCACGTAGCGAATCTCCACCTCATTGGTCTCCTCATAGGAGGCCACTACTTGGGCTCGCCACCAGGCCCCGTCCGCACCAGGGGCAGCGCAGATAACCGTTACTGCAGGGCGGGAGGACAAGTGTGTGGAACACGTCTGGCCTAGGAAGGGCTGTGAGGGCTACCCTGGTCATTGCTCCCCAACTTCCCACATGGTCAGAGGCATGCATTTCCATGGGTAGAGGGCAAGGACAATACAAATCCTCCACAAAACCTCTCCCAGAGCCCAAGACAAACAAGGGAAAACCCAGAACACGAAAAATCCAGCTTAGCATACTCCCAAACTCTGGAGGGCCTTCAGTCTAGATCTGACTCTAAAATTTACTGCAGCCTGAAACTAGCACATGAACCAGAATAAGCCAAGCAAAACATAAAACTCAGCAAACAGGGTGAGGGCCTGCCTTTTGTGTGTCTGTGCATGCGTACAGAGGGCAAGGATAACCTTAGCTGTCATTCTTCAGACAGTGTGCCTTTTTGTTTGTTTTTTTTAAATGATGGATGGCCAGGATTTTGCCTATCTCTGCCTCCCAAGTGCTGGGACCAGATGTGCGCACGCGCACACACGCGCGCACACACACACACACACACACACACACACACACACACAATTTTTTTGAATGGGGTGGAATCAAACTCATCCTATGGAAAGCATTTTATGGAGTTACTGCCCCAGACCCTGTGCCTAAGGAAAAGTCCCCAAGAGAATCAACAACTGTCAAGCGCAGCAGAGCTCAGTGGCCTAGTACCTATGGTCTACTCCAGTCCATAGTAACTCAGATGGAAAGCCTGGCCAGAAGAACATCAGGTCTAACTATACCTCACACCATCTAGCCTCAGCTGCAGGAAGTACAGTGCTCCCAGGCAGTCATCAAGCTGGGAAGCCACAGGATAAAGGTCACAGGAGCACCTCTAAGAACCTCCAGTAGCAGACCACACTTGGTCCTGATGCAGGCAGCGAAACCCCGGTGCAGCCACCCTTACACTCCAGCTTGATCTTTAGTTCTCAGTACAGCACTGGAGGATCTGATGAAAATTAAAACTTCATTCTTCCAAAAGGGGGACACACAAAACTGCTACAGATAACTTCAAATTCTCTTCATGCCTCAAAGCCCATGAAAGGACAGAGGAAGGTTCTGACATTTAGTCCCCTCCCAGCCTCTGCTCAAGTGTTGTCTGATCGAGTCCCTTCGTTTCAGAGACGGTTTCCTCACCTGTCATGTGGCAACAACAGCCCACTGCACTGGTGACAAACATATATACAAAGTGCTCTAGGTGGCATAGACTGCATTATCACTCTACTTCCTGGTGGCCAGCCTGGGTACTACCTGGTATCACCCCACTCAGAAGACACAAAGCCCAGGCTGGAGAGATGGTTCAGTGGTTAGGATCACTGGCTGCTCTTGCAGAGGACCTGGGTTTGATTCCCAGTACCCACATGGTGGCTCACAACCATCCATAACTACAGTTCCAGGGAACCTGAAGCCCTCTTCTGATCTCCATGGGCACCAAACACACATATGGTACATAGACATACATTCAGACAAAATACTCACATATAAAATGAATAATGTAATTTTTAAAAAAATAAAAAGAAGACAAAGTGTTAGGGCTATGATCTGAGTCCACCAGAAAAATGCCACTCCAATCCTACTGCTTTGGTCAGTCAGTGGATTGCTAGCTAGCTAGCCAGAAAACTCAACCCAGTACAACTCCATGACAATGTAAGAACTCAGAGATGTCACAAGAAGTTCCAAACAGTCTTTTCCTAGTCCAGACCAAGTGTAGAATGTGCAACCCACCTGGTCTACATGTCTTGGCCTGACCAGAGCCCAGAACTCTCCGATTCTCTAGGCAACACTTACTTTCCACGGGGGTGGGCAAGGTGGGGATTCCAGGCTGAGAGTAACAGAGGTACATCTGCTGGTCCAAGCTGCGCAGAGCATGGAAGGTAGGGTGTGTGTGCTGCTGTACAAACAGGTGCCCAGCATTGACCTGGTTGACCACGATGACTTCCACAGTGACACCATCAGGCAGCATTAGCTAGAGGAGGAAGAGGCAGCCAACATTGTATCAGTTCTTCTCACGTTTGAGATATATATGCCCAGAGGCCCCAGGGTGAGCCTATGGACTGACACTGCCATCAATAACAACGTGGCACCCAGACAGAAGGTCTGTTGGCTATTGTGTTGCAATACAGAGACCTGCCATTAGAGGCAGCCTCACCTTGGGATCAGACGGAGAATCCCCCCTCCCTAGTCCAAACTAACTGTATCTGGATCCTCACACAGGTTGGGCAGGGGTCCATCCCCTGGAGCATGCCTGCCCGCCCTCCTGCCCTGCCACTTCTTGACAACAGACTTGACAAGTCTGTAAGACTCAAGGAAGGCAAACAGGGAGTGAGCAGCTTGCTTGGAACAACATCCCTGAGAACACTGGGTGGACAGCCTCAGCCCCCTTTGGACATGCAGCAGACTCCAGATCTGAAAGCATTCTCTGCCTCTGAAGAACAAGCAACAGCCTCAGTCCAGACCCACTGCTAAGGTCTGCAGAGCTTGTGGCCTAGTCATTCCTCTGTGCCTTCCTTCTACTAGGCACCTAGAGATACTCCCCTCCATCCCACAGATGTCCCCCAATCTCCTCGCTTTGGGTGGGAGTCTGCAGGTGCACTCAGCTGCTAAGGCCCCTGTGAAAGGTCCTAGCAGAGGCCATGGGGCTCTCTAAAAGGTTTGTGCTCTGGCACCTCTCCCCCTATAGGTAGCAAAGCAGGATTGTGCATACAGGAGGGTTTGAATTGCACTTCAAGCCTGGTGTCCCCAAGAACTTTCTAGTCTTCTGTGGGTCCCTCCAGTCCTGCTGACTTCAAAGTCTCCCCAGTCCCACCCCACTGAGTAATCGGAACACAAGGGGGGTAAACCACTGACACTAGCTACTCCATTATTTAACATGAGAGGCTATAGCCAAGGCTCCTGGGAAAACCTCTAATTCAGGAGTAAAGCACGGAGTGGGGCCCAGCCCACTCCCGAATGCCCACAGTGACAGAAAGGAACACCACCCCAGCCCAACCCCCACTGCACAAGGGTCTCTGGTGGGGGAAGAAGCTCAAACACCTACCATCCTAAACAAAACCCAAAGGGGCAATTTTCCTGAAGCAACTTGCTCAGCCCAGCTGTGAAAGGCAGTAAATAGTTTGTGGCAACAGAACTCTGCACATCTACTCCCAACAACAAGAGACCAACCGAGGGCCTAAGGCATGTCTGCTCATTACTCTGGAGATATTAGCTTCTCTTCTGCTAAATTCTAGGGCTTCCAGGCTGGGGACTCTGCATTTACCAACTACAATGTAGGCAGTTCCTGGGGAGATGAAAAAGGGGGGATCCTTCACCGGGCCCACTATTCAGCCCAGCTGACTAGAAAGAACGCAATGACCCATCTAACTAAGTCTCCCCAAAATCCTTCTTGGCAGATCCTACCCAAGGCCTCTGGTGCTGGGCAGTGACTCTAGGTACAGCACCCTCGTTTTAGGTGCCCACACCCCAGTCTCCTGCCTCAACTCTCTTTAGGCAAATGCCTAGAAAAAAGGCAGAATGACCAAATGGCAGGAAAATATAGCCCTCACCGTGTGGGGTCAAGAAGCCCTGGCTTCTTGCCAGTATCTATCCTAGAACATACAGGCCAGCAACAATGCTGAGTGGAGGCCAGAACTAAGCACATACACACCCATGGGCCTGCTTGGCCCATGCATTAACAGTGTCTCAACTGGGATAAGTTTAGGGGAAGGGACAAGTAGGATCCTGGCGAGATTGCTCACCCAAGATGTCATCGGTAGGGAAGGCAGTGCCAGCGAAGGCAGTGGTGGCGCATAGATATTGGTGAGGTTCAGTTCCTTAAACTTCTTTCCAATCAAGTTCAGAGCTTTATCTACATGGTGCTGAGAACCTAAGGGCAGGGGACAAGATACGAAGCCACTGTAAGAGACAAGTGACAGCAAACACAAACCCACCCACATGCCACTCCCTAGAATTCTAATGTGCAAGGGTTTCTAAGGTGCCAACATTTGGCTTTGCTTTAGGAATGAAACTGTTTAAATCTACTCCCCTCTAACACTTTGCCAATCTGACCCATGCTTTGAACACAAAAAGAAGCTGGCAGATGGGAAAGGCACAAATGGCTTTGGCCAGAAGGTTCCTGTGCTCTGTGAGGGAAATGCGGGTGACAGACACTGTGCCCCAGGACCCTGGCCCTGTCCATTGAGCACCCATCCTTATCCTGGCCAGACAGACAGATGGTGCAGAGAGACAGTCTCCTGCAAGCAAACACTGAACTAGAGGAGCTGAAGAGAGGACACTCAGTGTGCCCTCTACCTAGAAACCTACAGTTTCTGTTCACAGGGTTAATTACAAATGGACAATGGCTCTGGGCGTTGGTGGCGCACGCCTTTAATCCCAGCACTCTGGAAGCAGAGGCAGGCGGATCTCTGAGTTCAAGGCCAGCCTGGTCTCCAGAGTGAACGCCAGGATAGGCTCCAAAGCTACACAAAGAAACCCTGTCTCGAAAAAAAACAAAAAATACAAACAAAAAAACCCAAACAAACAAAAGAAACAAATGGACAATCGCAATCCAGATGCCACTGCTTTGATTTCAGGCAAGGGAGCTAAGCAGAGCAGTGACACACCACTGACCTTCTATGTGGCAGATCTGGACGTTCTGGGTGTAAGGCAGGGTAGAGATGTAGATCTTGGCACCAGATGTCTGCTTCAGAAAACTCACGTACCGGCCCTGCTTGCCAATCGAAGAAGAGAGGGAGAGAGATAGAGAGAAAAAGAGAAAAAGAGAGAGAGAGAGAGAGAGAGAGAGAGAGAGAGAGAGAGAGAAAGATCAGGGAAACAGGAAACCAACTCCTCGCTGCCCAAAGACCTAGGCTTGTTCTGTGTAATGTCAAGCTTACACTGCTGGTGTCAGCATTTATTTTTTAGAACTGTTCTAAGCACTCTGGTTCAGTCACAGAACCCACAGAACAGTGATGTGGGAGGTCTTTCTGTATGTTGCAAATATGTGTTGCTTTTATTGGTTGATGAATAAAGCTGTTTTGGCCAATGGACAGGCAGGATTTAGCTAGGCAGGAATTCTGAACAGAGACAGGGAAAAGACAGACATAGGACAGAGCCATGTAACTACTAGGAAAGTAGAGTGCCCAGGCATTCTCGGGTAAGATAAGACTACGAGAAGATACACAAATTAATAGTTATGGGTTAATAATTAGAAAGAGCTATCCAGTAAGAAACCTAAGCCAATGGCCAAACAATTATAAATAGATATTAAGTCTCTGAGAGGTTATTTCATAGTGGCTTCGGGGACCCAGTTGGGTGGAGAGAAACCAATCCAGTGGGACTGAGACTAGACAAGAGAAAATCTCAACATAACAGACTTGATCATTTTACGTATAAAGAAAAATAAGCCAGGACATGCTCTGGGGTCTACCACACACAGCTGCCAAGCAGCTGAAGGGGCAGTCTGTCCCAAGATGCAGCATCTCATCCCAATCACGTGGCCAAGACTCAGAACATTAAAGAACAAGCTACACACACACACACACACACACACACACACACACACACACACACACACACAGAGTTTCACTGCTAGAAGGGTCAACTCTAGTTCCTCACACTCCTGCCCCTCTAAGTCCACTAGTGGCCACAAAGAAACAGGTTAGACAGTGAAAACCTGAGAACACTCAAGCTCCCACCCCACAGCCATGGGACAGCACACACAAGGGTCTAGTGCACCAGAGTTCAAGGCAAACAGAAGACACCAGACTTAAGCACGATGTAAGACATGCTCTACAACAATTCTAAACGACCCCAGCTCTGGAGGGTGGCAAGGGACACGGTCCCTACTCACCCAGAGCCTGCCTCACCATGTCCTCTATAACCACTGAGGGCAGGATTGCTAACAAGGTCACTGGGGAAGAAAACTAGCATGGGAGCCAGGAGCCTGGGGTCAACATAGGAGTCTTGACCCAAAGTTCAGACTGAGCCAGGTCTGCAGCTCAGCACGGAGCCAAGTGCCCTGGGAGTAAGCAGTCTGCCAATTACATCTGAGCCCCAGCGACAAACACTAATAGGCTGTTAAGTTCTAACAGCAAGGGGCTAGAAACTACTCCTGCACTGGGGACTGGTGAAGCAACAGACATTCATACAATGAATAATGCAGTTAACACAATGTTTGTAAAGACTAGCATGGGAAAATTAAATGGTTAAATATTCAGAAGTATTAATTAAAACATCACAGTCTTGGCTTTAACAATCGCAGGGTGGGAGGTGAGAGGGAGTGAGCGTGCTCACAGCTGCTCCCAGGAGGGGCTGGAGCTGCCCCGACTTTGCTTCTCTGTTTCTAGGCTTCCCATTCTCTCCTGCAGTTTAAGCTTTGCTAAGTTGTCTAGTATACTTTATAGTGAGGAGCTGGGAAGGGGTGTGACGACTGGTCCTTAGGCTGACATGTGCTAGCATTTCTAAGAGGATCTGAGCTACAAAACACACAGAGGAGCCTGGGGCTAACAAAGCGTGTGAGTATCAGATGGTCTGCCTACAGCTTACCAGCCTGACCCATCTAATTCACTTTAAGCCTGGCATTAAGGGAACTTTGACCTCCCACAGAATCCAGCCTACAGGAATGTCACCACTCTTACCTTTGGCACCTCTATCTCCCAGACGATGAGGTCAACCTTCTTGGGGTTGGAGCTTGCCTGGACATTCTGGAGGCTGTCAGGCTTTGGAAGCCTGCAGCAGCTATCCACTGAATCCATGCTGTTCCTGTCAGAACCTGCAGGGGAGGAAGGGGCATATATACACACACACACACACACACATATACACACAGACTCCAGCTCTGCCCTAACTATCACAGCTTCCCAAACTCACAATACTGGGAGGCCCTGCACACACACCCCTCTGAAAGCTTGGCAGATACCACTCAGCTCACAGATGACTAGAAGGCTCAGGAAAACCCAATGAAAGGAGGCCTAGGGTACCCATACACCTAATTTTAGCCTGTCACTTAACAGTCCTGCTTGCTTATTTGGCAGCCGTGCCTAGCCACAGCTGCTGGGACAGACACACATAATAAGCTTGGAAGAGACACACTCTATGCCAAGGGAGAGGCATAGGGTATAGCAGAGAGGGGAGTTAACAAGATGACCCACAGGTCTACATGGTCCCAGGAGCAGCACAGGTGTACATGGTCCCAGGAGCAGGCCTTGACCCTCTTGTCACAACCATCTTGCTCCCTTTACAAATGTCCTAGCCTCTCAAACCAAGGATCTCTAGTCTCTGAGGCCCCAGGCTCTGTGTGTGTGTGTGTGTGTGTGTGTGTGTGGTGTGTGTGTGTGGTGTGTTTATGGGTTAGGAGGTCAGTCACAGCAAAAGCCTACTGAGGGTCCCATTCTCAGTCCTGATGAGGGCCAGGTGGTGGGCTTCCTCCCCTCCCCACTGGGCTTGGCTTGTGAAGGTCTGAATATGGGGTGGCTCAAACAGCCCTTGTTAAGTGAGACAAACCAAGAGGACAATGGGGAATGGGACTCTGGCACCAGCTTAGGCTGTTCAACTTTCCCCCGGGACATGACAAAAAAAGACCATTGCAAAAAAAGAAAAGGGAGAAAAGGAAAAGACCAAATAATCACTAGGGACATCCAGGGCAAGTTAAGAGACTCGCTCTGGTGGAAATACCAACTTACTAGCCTGAAACAGACCACTCCTAAGAGACAACTAATTAGGCTATTTTCTACCTGGTTTCCCCAAACTCAGGACATAACACTTTCCCAAGAAATCCATGTACCATCTGGATATAAAAGACTAAGGCCTACTGGAACTCTCCACCCCTAGGCGGAAAAAAGCCACCTCCAGAGTGACCTCCCTCACTAGACCTAAGGCAAGGACCCCACCCACCCACTCACTCACACACCCAAGAAAGCTGCTTGGCCAAACTTTAGAAGCAAAACAGGCTGGTTGGGGTTTTACTGCCACACAGCCTCTGGCCTCTGTCCAAGAGAACTGGAATGGCCAATACCTGCATTTCAATGGCTCCCAGGAGTAACTCAGAACCATACCAGACCTTCAGCTGGCTGCAATCATTGACCAGCTTCCAGTTCCCTGGGCCAGGCAGTCCTGTTCCCATCCCCCATGAGCCTCAGCCCCAGGGGAAGCTCACAAAGTAGGGTTAAGGCACTGAGAACACCAGTGCCGTTCGCTTGGCACCCACTGAGCACTCACCAGTCCCTGTCCTTGGGCTATGACCGATGGGCCACCCTGATCCTCCCCACCCATTGATTATGGTCTCTTGCTATGCTAGAAGCCTCAAGGCATCTGCATAGCTACCACAATCTGTCCAGAGCTGGGTTCATTCATTACAGTCATGGGCATCAGGCAAATAGAAACTCCTTTATTCTTGAGATGGTTTTAAAAACCTTCCTTTTTGCCCATTGTAAGATGTGAATATTTTATCTTAACATTTTAGCGCTCCAGCTTGGGATGTAGCTTACACAGTATCTGGCCTCCCACAGTTACAATGGGCAGAATTTGCTTTCTTTTAGAAGGTATGTAAAATCATCATGGACTCAATCAACAGCATCTTAGGGTGACAAAAATCCAATGTGTGGTGCCCCCCCAGACTCTAATGAAAGTAGTAAAACACCCAAGAAAAATGCCCAAGCTTCCTGGATGAAACTGAATGGTTGGGAAGGTTCTAGAACAAACAAGCTTGGAAGTCACTGGGAGATTATCATAGAGTACCCCTGGGGAGCTGCAAAGCAGGGTCAGGAGCTGCTGACCTGTACGTTAGCGGTCTGAACTGTCTACGCTGGGGTCAGCACTCGAAAAACCCAGTGCACCCTTCGTTACCAAAGTGCCCTCTTTCCCGGGGTGGAACTGCAACTGCACAGAAAAAGGACAGCTGAGGCTCTGTAGAGGAGGAGGTCACAGCAACAACCCAAGACAGCTCGAGCCACCCACCAGTGCTCAAAGCTGCGGCTGTCCTGGGGGAACTTACCCTGCGAGGGCTTCTGGAGGACAGCAGGTGGAGACATGGAACAAGCACATGAGTAAAGGAAGTCAACCATTAAGAGATGCTCACCCATCCCTGGCGCTTGGGAGGTACCTCATCCTCAAAGGCCCACCAAAGAGTGGGTGTCCAAAAGAGAAGAGACACTAAGGGTAACTGGTGAACCCAACAGCCCTGGTCCCTTCTAAAGGTCTGGAGAGTTTCCCTGGCTAGCGAACCCATGGACAACTCTCATAGCCTTGGGGTCTCATGGTCACCTGACTTCTCGGGTACTCACCAGCTCTCTGAGGTGCCCAATTGTGCAGGCGGCTGGATAACAGAGTTAGAGACGGGGCAGCATCATTTTGTTGCACAAAGTGGCAGAAGGGAAGGGTGGCCAGTAGCTTTTGCCTAGCAAGTAATGGGAGCCCTCCCAGATTCACCAAGAAAGCACCAAGACCCTCCTACCTCCTGAGTGATCTGCTTCCGCATCCATGGTCCATCCATCCTCAGTCCCCACGTCTGAGAGCTCCTCCTTCAGCACCCCGTTGCTGAAGGGCTCAGTACTGTCTGGCAGTGGTGGGGTGACAGCTTTGTCTCCGGGGCTTGAGATGGTCTTTGTGCAAGAATCTTCAAGCCCCGAAGTAGTCAAAGAATGTGAGCGCTGCCCCGAGGAGGTCACTGAAAGGACACTCTGCTTATTGTAAGACATACAGGTGACAAAAGTGTCATCTCCTCCCGGGGAACTTGCCGCATCCAGGGACTGTCTCAGGCGGGTAACTGGTAGTGGGCAAGGGGCCAGGGAGATGTGGTGTGCAGAGGTCTTTGGCTTCTGATCCTTAGTGGGACTTGACAGAGGACTGCTAAAACAGCTCACATAGGTCTTTGGTGGCAGGGCTTCTGCTGGTGGGCTGGCAGTGGCACCTGTTGTAGTGGAAACAGGATCTGGGATGTCTCGTCCCAGGCCAGTTTCCTGGCTGGCTGGGACACTGCTCTCCTCCAGCCCCTGAGGCTGAGCGACCGAGGTGGGATACACTTGTACCACAGTCTTGCCCGCGCCCATCTCTTCAGTCACTTCCAAGATCACCCGGGAGATAATCTGGAAAGCAGCCTGCTCAATCTGATCCTTTTCAGGCAAGGTATCTTCTTTGATCTGTTCTCTAGCCAGGTCTCTGTCCTGAGTAATGCCACCTCTGACCTGGGGTACCAATGCATCTTCATCCTTAACCATCTCTGAGCGAACTGGCTCCACAAAGCTACTCGGCAACTTCCCAACAACAAATTCTTCCTTCTTTGCAAGCTCAGCCACCTGTGGGGGACCACTGCTCATCTTTTCTCCCCCACCTCCCCAGGGGGCCAGGTTTGGAACCCCACTTTTCTCCACTTCTGAGATATACTCCTGGGACAACAGGCCTTCCTCAGGTATATTTTCCCCCAACACAGCATCTCCAGTCCCCTCTGCACCGCCTGTCTCTCTTGCTTTCTCTCCAGAGGCTGCACACTGGTCGAGCCAGCCCCTTCCAGGTATTTTGCCCAATGCAGACTCTTGCTTATAGCCTTCCACAGCTTCATAGGGGAAGGGCACTTCCTTTGGGAGAAGGGGACATCCAAGAGGAATAGATTTGACTTCGTCCCCCATCAGGGAGAGTTCCACCTTTGAGTTGTTATCTCTACATGGCTGCGACCTTGTGTCGACATTGCTGGGGAGGTTGCCTGAGGACTCTGACCTTCGGCGAACCTGACGTATCCTTGGCAAGGCTGTAGAAGACTTGCCTACTGAGAGCTGTTCCGTTTCTGGAGGCTGTGCAACACTGGGGGGCATAGATAGGACTCTAGGACAGGCCTCGTCACTGGGGAGTTGGTCCTTGATGACAGGGCCAACCTTCAGTGTCTCTACCTGCTTATCATTGCTGCTGAGCTGATCTTTTTTACGAGAGAAAAACCACCACCAGCCAAGGAGCGCTAGCATTCCAGGCAACGCCAAGGGGAAGAGTGAACGGAACTGGATTGCCATCTTGGAAGCGAGGTGAAGAAGCTATCTGTGCCTAGGGAAAGTGAAGAGAGGAAAAGAGGTGTTAAAGAAGCCAATTAAGCAGTACAGGAAGCTGGGCACAGTGGTGCACCCCTTTAATCCCAACACTTGAGAAGCAGTGGCAGTCAAATCTCTGATGGGGGATGTCCTTCTGTATATATGTTTCTCTTATTGGTTGATGAATAAAAAACACTGTTGGCCAATAAGGCAGGAAGATAGGCGGAACTAGGAGTTGAGAATTCTGGGAAAGATAGGCGGAGAGAGCCTGCCAGAAACAGTTGCCATGTATGCCGCCAAAGGAGTAGCAGGTCCAGACATTCTCCGGTAAACCAAGACCATATGGAAATACATAGATTAGTAGTTATGGATTAAAAATGAAGACAGAGCTAGCCAATAAGAAGTCCTAGCCACTGGCCAACAGTTTCATAATTAGTATAGTGTCTGTGTGTTTATTTAGGGCTGAGAAGGGTGGCAGGATCAGCCGGGAAAGAACCTCCACAACAGATCTCTGTAGATTCAAGGCCTACATAGTGAGTCCAGACTAGCCATGGCTACATAGTGAGATTCTGTTTCAAAAACAAAACTAAGCCAGGCGTTGGTGGCACATGTCTTTAATCCCAGCACTCGGGAGACAGAGGCAGGCGGATCTCTGTGAGTTCGAGGCCAGCCTGGTCTCCAGAGTGAGTACCAGGATAGGTTCCAAAGCTACACAGAGAAATCCTATCTCGAAAAACCAAAGCAAACAAACAAACAAACAAAAACCCAAAAAACAAAAACAAACAAACAAACAAACAAAAGCCAAAACAAAACTAACTGGAAGTACAGGGATACATTATACCAGTACATGGGTTGTGTCTAGCTGCAGAGAGAGACATTGTAATGCCCCAGCACTCCCTGACTGGCTCAGCAGTGGTTTGAGAACACTGTTCTAGGACTGTTGTTTCTTCAAGTGTGGTCTATAGACCAAAGTTGCTACTCACACCCCAGAACCTGCTGGAAGTGCAGCCCTGATTCACATTTGTTCTTTAACAAGATCCCCTGGAAAGCTTGAAGCACACTACAAATTACGAGGAATGCTTGAGACTAGGAGACCTATCTACCCCAAATGAAGAAGTTGATGGGAGTGCAGGAGAAGAGGTCACTCCAGAAAGCCCTTCCAGCTGTAAAGATGGACCTCCAAAGGCAAAGCAAGGGGACTGCCAAGTGCAGAGCAGGGCTGAGCAGTGGCCAGGGCTCGGGTGACTTGTAAACCACACCTCTAGGTGGAAACAACTTCCATGATACTACCTTGTGGCTTCAGACACAAATAGTTCCATCCTGTATCTTTTCACCCTCAACCTACCCATCCATACTCGTTTGGAACCTATTGCTACCTGGGTAGCAGCTAAGGAATGGGAACCTAGCTTCCATATTACTTGCCAGTTGATCCATGAAGAAAGATGCAAGTGTGAGCCAAGAAAAAGGGGAAACTCATAGTATCTTCTTATGTTAGTAATAGCCTGGGAAAGACAATAAGCATACCCTGTGATTCACCTACAAACAAACAACAACATAAAAAAATATACCTGTGTATAGGCAGAGAACCTTAAGGACCCCAGCCCCAGGTTATTGTTTGAAACAAAGTTGGAATTAGCCCTTTTCAGACCAATGACTGCTAAATACACTGAAGAATCAATCACTCACTGGCCGTTCTGGTGTTACAGAAACTGTGCACTGATAGAAAACATTGTAATGGCCGGGTGTTGGTGGTGCATGCCTTTAATCCCTGCACTCTCGGGAGGCAGAGGCAGGGCAGATCTCTGAGTTCAAGGCCAGCCTGGTCTCCAGAGCGAGTTCCAGGATAGGCTCCAAAGCTACACAAAGAAACCCTGTCTCGAAAAACAAAAAA